GCACAGGTGACTCCTGCAGAAATTTTCACCGAGTGTGACCCTGGGACCCTTCCTGTGGCGTCTAAGATGCATAATCCGTGGGTTTCATGAACCACAGGGGTCACTAAACCCTTGATCCATAGGTGGGCACACGGGTCAGAGGCCGGCGAAGGCCACAGCCAGGCCCAGAGCGTCGGGGCTCCCGCCCTCACACACCCAGCCCGCATCTCCCCATACCTGACATGGGAGCTATGTTAACTGGCTACCACTCTCCCACTCTATGTTAACTGGCAGGGGGACTTCTGATTCGGTTCTTTGAGGGACAGTTACTTGACCCTGCTCCTCTCATTGGGCCACAGCTGCCTTCGCTGCACAGCCCTGCTCACTCCCAGGTGTGTGTGGGGTGGGGCAGTTGAGACGCAGGCGAACAGAGCACTCACCTGGCTGCTCTGTAGAGGCCAAGGCCAGAGCGCAGGCGGCTGAGACCAGCCACAGGACCGGGAAGTCCAGCATCCTCTCCACAAACCCGGGCTAAAGCTCACTCAGCGGCTCCGACTCTCCATGCAGCTGGGAGGGGAAGGCCAGTGCGGTCAGGGGTGCGAGGCTGGAGGGAGCTCACACAGTGCCAACCAGGACGCATCCTCATCCCTGGCACAGGGCTCATCTAAAGCTTCGAGCCACCCTCCAAGGAGGTGCCATCATTGCTGCCACTGCAGGATGAAGACACTGAGGCTCCAGAACACGGATTCTAGAACCACGCCTACCTCCTGTAGGCGGCGCAGGAAGGTAAACAGTTTGCTTAAGGCACAGAAGTGGACACTCTCCTTCCTGGAGGCCCTGTTGTTTGAGAGCAGGTGGGACAGGCAGGGAAGAGCTGGGGCAAAGGAGAGGAGGCTGAGGTGAGAGGAGAGGAGTGGGAGCTTCGTCAGCTGCTCTGCCGGAGTCCTCGGGGTCTGGGGCAGGTCCCGCTCCTCCTCAGGGTGAGGTGAGGGTCTGGAAACTGGGTGGGGGGGTGGGGGGTGCTGGGGATGCCTGCCGACAGGGAGTGGCCCTGTCCTGTGCTGTGTGCCAGGCCTGGCTAAGAGCCCCTGCGTGCCCATGGGGAGCGGTGAAGTGAGCCGTGCCAGGCTAGGCCGGGCTTGCTGGTGGCAGCGTCTGGCATCCCAGGTGCCCAGTCAAGGCTTGAGAAATGAGTGCATACGTAAGCCTGCAGGCAGGCAGAGACGAATCGCTGTGAAGTGCTTGCCTGCACTCACGTTAATGACACGTTCTGTTCTGGAAAACCCTTTCCTCCAATGGGCAAACCTTCAGAGGCTTCCAACCGCCCCTGGGGGACATGGGCTAGATAGCGGGCTGTGTCTGGAAGGGTGGAGTGAAAATGCGAGGAGAGAGCACTGGTCAGGGCCGAAGTGGCATCTGGAGCTGGAGTGGCGTCTGGAGCACTGGGCAAGGGCCAGTGTCCAGACTCCTTGCTGGGTTCTGAGAGTTTCCAGAAACAAGCAACCCTCGCAAGCCCAGCGGGGGGTCTGGGGCAGCCCGAGGGCCTGGAGAGCCCCAGGTGGGCTTGCCACAGGACTTACCGTGGACAGAACACAGCTCCTCCTCTGGCCTGGCCTGGTGTGCAGCCTGCTGGCCACCAGCCTTTTATTGCCCTGCCCTCCCATGTGGCTCTCCGCCATTGGTGCCCAGGAGCCTGGAGTCACTCCCGGGTGTTGGCTGGAGGCGAGATAAGTGATTTGCCACAGGATGATGAAAGAAAGGCCCTTTGCCCATCTCCCTCCCCAGTGTAAATGCCCAGCGGCTTCCCCTTTTGGCAAGGTGTCCTCATCACCCCTTCCCGGATCCCGTGGGTGCCTGAAGCCGCGGGTAGCACCGGGCCCTACACACACGCACACACACACACACACACACGCACACACACACACACGCACACACACACACACGCACACACACACACACACGTGATGAAGCTTAACTTATAAAAGAGGCTCAGGGAGATCAGCACTAACTAGTAAGGAAACAGGACGAGACACTGCAATGGAAGGTGTGAGGCTCTCTCAGTGTCACACGGCCCTGCGCACCCTGTGGGGACGATGTCAGGGCCGCCGTGCCCCTGACAGGAGGAGTGAGTGAAGGACGCACCCTGTGGCCTAGCGCTGGGCACTACTGGACTCCTGACCACCTGCCAGAGGAGGGCCGTGAGCCTCGCGAGGCCTTCTCCATCCTAACTGAGGATGGGTCACGCGCTGTGGCCGTAACTCTTCCAGTGTGAGGTGTGACAGCAAGACGAGCACTGGTTTTTTTTCCTGCTTCACAATTCCACAGGACATGGTCTCACCAGAGACCTGACCGCCTCCTTATGAAGTCAGGAACGCTTGCCTCTTCACCTGCAGGCAGCACCCCGGCTTCCGGGCACTCCTAGGCTGCTGACATCCCTGCTCCTGGGCTCGGGCAGTGTTAGGCAACGCCAGGGTGGTTGGAGCACAGCCCAAGACACGCAGCGTCGATTGACTAACCGAGGCGGCTACAGAGGGAGGGACTGATGGGGTAGTGCCTACAGCGTGCAGGTCACATCCCAAGCACCTGGCACAGGATGGACGGTGTGAGATTTCATCACACTATGCAAATGGTGCAAAATGCATGAATGGTTTATTTCTGGAATTTTCCGTTTCAGATTATTGGACTGCGGTTGGCCATAGATAACTGCAACCTCGGAGAACAAACCCATGGCTAAGGGGAACCACGGTGTGTCCTGAGTGCTGGCACACTGCCCACGCCAGGCCTCCGTGCACACGGACCCATCGCCACCTCAGTAAAGCAGAAGCAAACACTGGTCAAGGGAAGCTCAATATCCAAAGGGACGTGGGAAGAAACCAGCAGGAACTTGCTTGCACAATGGTGCCTGTGTTCCTACCTAACCAGCTGACCCAGCTGCTCAGGCCGGGGCCTCTCCGCAGAGCCGGCAGAAGGGCTAGAAATAACAAGGTGTGGGCCCACACTTCCCCCAACTTCAGACATTCAGGACTGAGGCGCCCGGGCAGGGCCACCACTGACCGTGAACAGGGATGCAGTGGATGACGAGGACCTGGGCAGAATGAGCGTCAGAAGAGCCTCCCCCGTCTCTGTGGCTTTGTGGGTGCCCTAGAGGTTGGAAGGTAGGAAACTGGGAGGTGGCTGTGCATCAAGGACTTACAAACTCCAGGCCTGGCCTGGTGCTCGTGGCCTGAGAGACCCCAGGGAGTTGGTAAAAGAGCCGAAGCTCTTGCAGAACAAGTAGCCGCTACCTCTTCTGTTAGACACTCTAAAGAGCCATGGCCACTGGAGAGGGGGCGGGGTCTTGGCATCGGTAACACCTTCTAGCCAAACCTCAACTGGACACAGGAAAGGCAATGCAGCCAGTTCTCTACAACGAGCGCATTTGGAGGAACACACGTCTGGGCCCACAGAAGGCCCTGAGCCATTCTCTGTGGACGGACACTAGCCTCCTCCCCCCGGCGGCCACTCCCTTCTCTCAAGCAGCCTCTCAAGGTGCCATTACCCACTGCCTCCCTCGCTTCTCAGAGGCGGGGCATCGACTTCAGGACACATTAGGCCACAAACTGACTTTACTCAGTGTTGTCTCCTTCCCCAGTCAACATGCAGAGCCACCTCCATCCTTCACTTCCTCCCAACATCTGGCAAGGCGATTGCCTTTTCAACGCCAGTCCCTGCATCCTCTCGGACGCCTCCATTCCAGGCTGGGCCGGGAAGCTGTAGAGTCCATTGGCCCTTGTCACTGGATGGCTTGCTGCCCCTCCAGGCTCTGTGTCCTCACTGCCTGTACAACAACTTTCCTGGTTCTCTTCTACCCATGTGCAGAAGATCCCCTGAACCCCTCCCTCCAGCTGTCCTTGGGAATAATGGTAGATCACAGTTTTCTTCTCATTCCCTTTGCTCTCATTAGGAGGCATCCCGGGATTGCATGGTGTCTGGTACATCCACAGGCTGGTGGATTCCAAATATGGAACCCCGATCCTGACTGTTCCCCTGAAACCCAGGCCACCTATGCAGCTGTGTTCTGGACCTCTCTGCGTGGGCTTAGTTGCTGGGGGTATTTTGAACTCAGAAGTTCCAAATATGACCTCATCAATTTCCCTAAATCTTTCCCTCCTCATTGCATCATCTATCTTTTTAAAAATTACATTTGTTGGGGTGACATTGGTTAATAGGGTTGTATAGGTTTCAAGTGTACATTTCTATGGTACAGGATCTGCACACTGCACTGTGTGTCCACCACCCAAAGTCACATCATCTTCTGTCACCACATATGCAACCCCTTTTACTACCTCCCCACCCCTTCCCCCTGCTAACCACCACA